CAGCCACCCCAGAGTGGTGGGGGAGGAAGAGAGTAAAAATTAAGGGGTTGGAAAGGACTGGGGGGCAGCACCTGTACTTGTTGGGGAACATCCGCTCGCAGTCCTTGCATTCGTGGGTCTGCCCGCTGCCCCCGCTGCTGAGACCCTCAGGCTTGAGCTTGTCAGCCAGGCCCTCGTACAGTGCGGCCCCCACTGAGCCACATGCGTACTTCTTGTGTCGCCGCAGGTCCAGCTTGGACTGGAAGAGCTCGTCACACTCGTCACAGCGGAACGTGGGCTCCTCTGTAAGAGAGAGGGCAGGAGGTGGGCAGGTGAGCCTGAGCTTTGCCCAGACCTTCAACGGACTTGGGAGCCCCAGACCCATCACCACTGTCCCCTGGGGCCTGATCAGCTTCCTTTTAGTCCCCATTTTGGACTAGAAGTGGCTGCCCTGGGATGCGGAGATTAGGGGACACACCCAGGACAGTGTTGAAGGACCCCTGCTCTGCCTCAGGAAATTTAGAGCAACCCTAGGGCTCCTCCTCAAACCTCAGGCTGCCCTCACAGGCTGGAGGTGGCCCCACACTTGCTTGGGAGTGGAGAAAGAAGTCAGGCCAAGTGCTTTGTTTATGAATTAGGAGGAAAAAAGATGACGGCGCTCCAACGCATATAATAAATTATTGTCGTCAAGGTCAAACAAATTAAAAGGGGGGCAGCTATTATTAAGTTTACGAGGCAGCATCCTGATCATGGTGCCAAGCCAAACAATCAGCCCAGAGCTGTCATCCGGCGGGGCGGGGGAGCGTGCAGGGGCTCGGGGCCCATCCCAGCCTCCCTTGCCTGCAACTGGCCGAACAGCAGCTTTCCACCAAGAGTCAGGGTCCTCCTCTCCTGCCAAGGAGGACCCCGTCCTGCCCAGGTCTGGAAAAAGAGAACCTGCACTAGCTCTTCCACAAGGGACGTGGACGACGCAGCTGTGTGCTCATGTGCACATGTGGGTGTGGGTATGAGAGTGTGTGGCTTGCGCGTGAGCATGCTGTTGTGTGTAGATGCATGTGCACATGCCATGTGTGTGGCTGATGTAACCATTTCAGCTATGTGCATCCATGTTCGTGCAGCTTTGTGTGAAGGTGTGTGCCCATCTGTGCATGTGTACCCATGCTTGTGTGAGCACACATGTGTATGGGTACACCACACACGTGCATATACCTGCATGTGTGACTATTTGTGTGCACGGGCATATTTTCACACTTGCACATGCATGTGGTTTGTGCATATGTGTGCAAGTGTGTCTGCATGTTTGGGCATGTGCCCATTTATGCATGCTTCTGTTCTTATTTTCACATATGAGTATGTATGTGTTTATGTATGCACATATGTCACACACTTATACACATATTTATGCATGTGTATGAGTGACTACATGTTATATCATTGAGTGTGCACTTGCATGCATGTGTGTGTTCATATGTCAATGTATGTAGCTGTGTATGTGTGGGCACATGTACATACGTGCATGTTAATGTACCCGTGTTATGGGATTGCATCTGTTTGCATATGTTAATATAATCGCTGTGCGTGAATGTGTGTGCATTTGTATGCATGTGCACGTGCGAGTGTTATGCCTACACCAAGCACTGACCCAGTGTGCGGTCCTGAGCAGTGCCTTAATACACTTAGGCTGAATGTTGGCCCAAAGTGCCTGAACCTCAAGGGTGCGGAGACTAGTAGGAAGGGGAGATGAGGGGGTAAATAGAAGAGGAGGTTGCCTCCTGTTCCTCTCCCTGTGTCGGCGAGACCACCAGAACCATGAGCCATTCCACTGTCCTAAGGAACGGGTGAGCTGCTTTGCAGCTCGAGCACTGTCAGAGTTCCCAGGGAGTACCTTCCTTGCTGACTGGAAGCCTTCCTGAGTGTTCTTCCTGGGGTCTGACCCAGGCCACACCTAGCATCTTAATAGTGCGTCCCCTGAATCGCAGATGCTCAAGGGGGAGACTCCTGCAGGCACTGGCTCTGAGATGCAGTGGCCGAGCCCACTGACAACACCCACACTGATGCATGACGCTGGCTTATCAGATGTGACTGTTGGTCATGTCTTCAGGCAGAGGCACATATCTGTGTGGCAGGGAAGGGTTGCGGGTTGAGAGGCACATTGCAGACGTGTGTGTGGGACTGACTGGGTAAATGCCACTGTTTTTCAAGGTGACCAAGCACTACAGTCTAATTACTAGCCGGTATCCAGGTGTCCTGGCCCCACTCACTGACCTGACCCTGTTGTGAAGAAAGCACTTGTTTTGGTGGAAATAAGCCCATGAAGGGAGAAAAGCAACAGGAGCTCAGAGCTTATGGAATCTACTCTACATGCAGCTTGGCCCAGGGCTATGCCGGAGGATACAGGACTATGCTCCACCCCTCAGTCTGGCAGGCTCTATCCCAAAGGACTCCCCAGACACACACTGAGAAAACAGGGCACTGGACTTGTCCTTGGGTGCCAGGGTGGGTCCCCAGACATGACAAATGGGGTGGAGTAAAGGATGATTCAGGTTACAAAAAATAGCCACCTTATAAATCTGCAAAATGCTGCCTTTAAAATGTCACACAAGCATGCAAACTCTTTTCAGGAAAGAAGTGTACTATGAAAATAGTGTGACCAGCAGTGCTGACACCTCTGGCTTACTGAGAGTCCCCATGGGACGGCATTGTCTTAAGAACTTTATGGAATTCATACATTTAAGCTTCGTGCACACACAAGCACCCAGGTAGGTCCTATTTGTATGCCTTTTTTAGAACTGGTAAACTGAGGTGGGAAAGACTGAAGAGTTTTCTCAAAGGATTGTCAGAGGCATGCAACCAGGGCCTTGCTATGGTTGCGAAGGAGGGCAGACAGAGTCCCAATTTCTTCATAAGGGTTACAAGAAAAGCAACATGACTATATTAGACTTCGGGGGGCACTCATTGTCACCCACTCCATAGGTCTTCCCTTTTCTTTAGAAATTCAGATTTTCACTAGGGAATGAGTCCTGGATGTCTGAGCACCATGAATCTCATTTTAGGCTGGGGCCGTTGACAGATAAAAAGTGGTCCCTCTTTGCCTGAGTCAGTAGTTCACTTTCTTAAATAATTGGTGGGTGGGTGACATTTTATTTATTTATTTATTTATTAGGTTTTTTTTTTTTTTTTTTTTTTTTTTTTTGTGTCTTTATTGTTGCTTTTTGCCACAGGGAATGTGTACTTGCCAGAAAGAGACAGAGAGAGGGAAAGTGAGAAATCCCCTCCCCCCCAGGATAGATGGTTATACCACAGTCCCTTCTCCTCCATCCTCCTCTTGGGATTTGGGGCATGCACACACACACACTGGAAGTGACTTTCAAGCCTCCACATCCAGAACTCAACTGCGGTAGGCCATGTGCAAATCCAGCACCTTAACTACCATGCCATCTGCTGGCCCCTATATTTTAAAAGAAACATCCAAAGGGGGAATTGTTTTTCAAGCCTCCCGTGATGTCAGGTTTATTCCATGTGGATTTATTCCAACATCCTGGGTTGGAAGGGGGCAGGGATGGAGCCAGCAGGGTGATGAAATTAGAAATGCCCATTTTGATTTCACTCTTTCTGGACCCAGCCTGGAACAATCACAGAGGTTGAAATTTGAAAACAAAGACAAGAAGAAATCTCAACCCACCCATCCATTCCACTGTCCATCTTATTTTTTCAGTTATGATTTGGAATTCAGACTTAAAATAAAAAGTGTTTGGATTTCAAATAAAAATTCAGCCTATTCTCACTCCGATGGCATCCTAGGGCCCATTGGAGGTGACAGAACTGACGCTGGTGACAAATGTTGTCTACTTCCTCTTCTGCCCCTACCCCTTGAGGACTCACGTTTGCCCTCTTCAAAGGACAGAGCTGGAGACAGGACATTTCTGTGCCAAATGACATGTCACTGAGACCTGTTTACTGGTGTCCCTGCTGTCTCCTCAGGACAAGGATTGGCTCAATCTATGGTATTTTCATGAACAAGCAATTCCCCTTTAAATAAACACTGAAAGAATATGTTCTGTTCTGTTATCATATTATATCCTACCATATGCTTTGTCTGTCTGTCTCCTATGTTCTCTACACAATGCACCGCATCCTCTCGACCTTTTCTGGAGAGGGGAAAAGTAAATTATTATAAGCTTTTCTAAAAAAGAAAAGCATGTTTGAATGGGAATGATTTTCTTTATTTTATCTCAAGAGCAAGAAGTTCTCATGAAAGAGAAATCTCTCCCCTCTCCATTGTAAGAGTAAAAACAAAATACAAAGTCGCTAGAACTAATGAATCTGAAAGTGGCTTCCCTCCGGTCTGAATCACTTGTATGAAAATTGGAATTGCATTTCTTTAGAAAGCTCCAGCTTTGAAGGACGTTCCAACCCTCAAACTGCAGGGCAGATGTTCTGTTTCTTCCCAGCGTGTTGGCAAATGAGGGCCTAGATTTCTTCCTTGCTACCTGAACATGGTCCCCAGCAAAGCTCTCTTCCCCCAACAAAAGCACGAAAAATAGTGATTTGGAATCGTGCTCTCTTTATTGAGGTCTGATTGGGGGGCGCAGGTTGGGGTAGAAGGTCTCCCTTCTACCTAAACCAAACCAAGCCAACGCCACAGCAGCCTGATGTCTTGTTTGTTAAATGTGCACTTCGCTTGTCTATCGTAAGTTCCATCAGCAACTTTCATGGCAGGGCAGGAATGTAACAGAAAAAGGAATCAGTGCCTAATGGCTTCGGGAACGGAGGGGTTCACAATTATGTGGCATCTACATGCTAATCTACCAGACTCAGGGCTCAAAAGAGCTCAAGAGCCTACTCCAAATTCCAGCAGTGATAAGGGGCCCGACTGCATTTAGCTGGGGTTAGGATAAAAGATTTTTTATGATAATTATCTTAGTGAGGAACATTTTTGCATTTTCTTTCTGTGCGATTCAGAGTTTAGCTGGGGAGGGGAGAGGTGGCTGTTGGGGAGGCAAAGACGTGATCTTGACAGGAGAGAGTAGGAAAAGTCAAATATTTGATGTTGGGCTATTATGTGTGGAAAGCAATTAGCCCACAAATGTTTGATAAATTATTAGGAAAATGTAGACCCAGGTTATTTAATATTGGGGGGCTAGGGGGGGTGGGAAGCAGGAATCAAGGTTGTAAAAAACCCTCTTAGAGGAAAGAAATTTCATAGTACAAATGAATTCCCATAGTCAGCCGCCCTCCTTAAACTGAGTAGAGTTATCGTTTGGAGTTCTCACGTGGTGTCTAAGACTCACAGGTCTTTTCAACAATTATTTTAAGGAAAACGAGACCTTCCTCCCGCTACCCAGACCGCAGCAATTTATTTTTCTTTTCTCAATGGCCTAATTAAAACCAAACTCTAGGGGAGAGTACAGACAGAATCTGGCTTGTAAAATCATCTTCCTGTGGCGATTTCTCTTTGGACATCTCAGGACAAGAACTGAGGCTGCCAAAAAGAAGGCCCCTAATCGTGGAGTGGTGACCAGTGGGGTAAATTAAGGCAGAGTCCTCCACGTCTGATCTCACACTAATTCCAGTGCCCAGCTGCCTGGCCTCCCGATGCCACTCCTTCACTGTGAAATTAGAGTGGCTCCTTAGAGAAACTTGCAGTTGATGGCATTAATCATTAAGCCCTGGCATGTTTGAAGGGGAAAGGAAGCAGGAAGGAAAAATCCAGCCTCTGTCTTTTCTCTAGTACGCACAGGAACCAACAGCCTTGGGACTGGCGAGAAGGGGAGCCTGCTTTTCTGTTCATTTGTGGGTTCTCATCCGAAGTAAAGAGGCTAGACACGAACTCTGAAGCCATCTGCTGAGCAACAACACCCCCGGGTTGCCAGTCCCCTGTTACCAATGCAGCCTTTCTCCAACTGACAGCTCCAAGACCCCGAAGGTGAATGGACACAGCGCTTAGCAACGCGGAAGAGGGAAAAGAAGTCTGTGCTTCAGAAAAGCTGGTGTGTGCGAGACTGGAATTTTCTCAAGCATCCTCTCAGGAATACTTGGGTGTGGATGAACGAGAAGAGAAAATCTACTCGTCACATTCCTTCTCGACAGATACCGAGTGACAAACCATGAGGAAAGGAAATTTAGGGGGCTTTCCAAAGTCCTGTTTGGAACAGCTCAGACACTATTCGTCCACCCTCTGAGACTCATCCAAACCCTAAATGTTCCTTCTCACTATTAAATAAAAATTCTCCCTACCACTTCTCTTGAACTCGTAACCACTGTGGGCATCACTTTTCAAGATATACAAGGAGTCTTCAAAAATCAATGGAAATGCATATTGCAAAAAACTATACATGGATTTAAAGTAATTTGGGTTCAGAATAAGCTTGTACTTTAATTGTATTTTTCACCACATTTTTGAATTACCCTTTATGTGCCATCATCTTCTCTCCCAAATGAGACGTCTGGGGTAGTCAAAAATACTCCCAAGCCACAAAACTGGTTTGGTGGGTTTTGTCTTGTTTGTTTTAAGTACTGGGGAAAGCAAAACATGTTGTTGTTGTTGATAATAATAATAATAATGTTTTTCTTAAAAAATTACCTGGGACTCCAACAGGGCAAGACAATTTAACACGAAGTCAATTCACCCATATTGTCTGAAACCCTATCTTCAATGTGGGCTGCAGGTTCTTTCCCCCCGAGGAAGGAGAAAGGAAGACTTTAGATTGAGAAGTCAAGAACTTTTGCTGGCCTGGGGTCTGCAAAAATTTGACATAGCCGCCAGCTGGGGGGCGCCTGGCCCCTTGTATGGCATGGGGTGATGAGAGCCCCTGGTTCTCCCAGGTGTCTGCTCCGCTTCTGGTGGGGTGGGGACTCCTGGGGGTGGCAGCCCAGAAGGGGTCTTACCATCCAGACTGGGCGGCACTGCACCGAGGGAGTAGGCGCCTTCCTTCACGTGCACCAACAGCTCCTCGCCCGGCTCAATGTCCTTAATGACTTTATAATAAATCTAGGATGGAGAGACCAGAAAGAAAGGGTAAGCATTGTTGTTTGTTGTTGTCTGGAAAGCCACTCTGTGCACACTCAGCCCCACATGCCCTAGATGCCGCTCCTCAGGGGGGCTGGCCTGCGAGCCACTTGACCTGTCTCTAATTGCCACTAAGAGGTTCGCCCCTGGAACTTTGGCAGAATACACTCGAAAGGAATTGAGTCCCCTTTTAATTTGTTGTATCCAGTTTCTGGATACTGAGACAAGAGGTACAGATGTGAATAGGTGAGGGTTGGTAGCAAATTTCCCAGCCAGGGAGTATCCTTGAGGGGGTGTCAGCAAGGGCGACTCCTCCTTTGGGAGCAGGGCCTGGGTTTATTCTCGAGTTCTTCTTGGGAACATGTGTGTGAGACATTGCAGCTCTGGCTAGGCGGGAGTGCTCGGCGTGTAGTGTGAATTTGGTGGCTTGGAAAAGTGATCACGGGCTAGACACGGGCCTGTGAGTCAGGACAGCAGGGAGTAATTCTCACACAAGCACATGCGCCATCGCCATCTGCAAGGGAAGGTTCAGGGCAGGGGGACGAGTCTGCCTGCTGCAAGCCAGTGGTTAGCTGGCTGGGGCAGGAGATGGGGGTCACGCTGAGAACAAGTGGGGCTCAGAGTAGAATCTGCAGTCTGGAGAAAGCCCTAAATGAGGAATGCCTAGCTCTGAGCTGCACTATTCTGCACCGTGTCAGCTGTAGCTTGCCAAAGTGCTTCCTGAAAAACGAAAGTCATGCGGCGGGTGTGGAAACGGTGGCCAAGATGAGGAAAACTCTGGCAGTTCAAGAGAGGCCAAGTCGTCCAGGATAGAGCTCAGAGCACCACAGACCTGGAGTATCTTTGGGGGAATACCGGGGCCTTCCCTGACTTAGCCCAACCGTTCCCGAGACTACCCGCCCTTTAGCTCTGCAGAGAGGAGTACCCACTCCTCACAGAAATACATCTGACTCCTAGAATCGGGACTCAAGTTGGGAAACATCTGACAGCGGGGAATCTCCTCAAGACAGTTCTCTGCCTGCGCTCTGGCTCTGGGTGTCTGGGACTCTGTTCGGGTACCCAGACTCCAGGAGCCTGCAGACCTGGCTGGGGGACTGACTGGGAGGCCAAAGAGAGCGGCCCAAGAGAATTCTACCTGCCCCAGGGAGACTTGGAGCTGAAGGACCTCCAGGGTGACCCCACTAGGAGGCCATTCAGAATCGCCTTTCTCAAGACAGGAACCAGGAGAGGGAGGAACATTCTCGAAGAAAACAAGACTGGTCCAGACCCAGGGAGGGAGGGTCCCAGGATTAAGGAGAGATGGCCATCTGACTTCGGCAGCATTTCCACCTGTGTACGCTGCTCATGTCAGGCCAGGCTCCCTGGCGTTTGGCCCTGGCTAAGTCTGTGACTGGGTATGGTGGGACATCCCAGAGACTGAGCTGAGCCTACAGCGACTTCCCCACAGTGTGGCCTCTGTGACAAACCACCAGTTGAGACTACTTCCAGAGAGGCCCCAGTGCACGCCCCAAAGGACACATGGAAGCCCAGTCGTGACCACAATGCCCACTGGCCAGCACCGCCAGGACACTCAGTGGAACTGTCGGCGTTGGCAAGCACGCGGGCATACATGTGCAGCTCCTGGGTGTGCTCAGCTTCTTTGGGATGTGGTCAGCAGTAGCCATTTCACGCGGCAATTTTTCTCAGGTAAGCTGCTAAAATAACCAGGAGAACTGAGACTAACCACTGGACCACGTTAAGTTCTCTAATTAAGCTCATTGTTATTGAGATGTCAGTTTGCTATCTTATCTAAAAAGAATTCAATCAGTGGCTGAATAATCGTTTGCTTTTAAAATCAGACTCGAGCCACCATACTTCAAAATTGGTTCCAAAGTGCAGCATGCAGAGAAGCCGCGCTGCTGGGACAAAGCCGGCGACCGGCTGAGCCACCCGGCCAGTGAGTCAGGAGTTATTAATAAGCCCGCACAATCGCACTTTCATCTGGGCAACGAGCAAGCGCATCCAGCAAGCGCATGCTAAGTGCCCGGTCTGGCTGAGGTCCCTCAGTCCGCGCAGCCAGGGGTGGCCTGGCCCGGGCGCCCGCGCGCAGGTGGGCAGGAGAGGAGTCCGAAGGCATAGCGGCGGTTTTTCTTGGTTCCCCGTTAGGGGGCAACGTCGGCACGGCCCGGGCTCCCGCTCCGACCCGGCGCAGAGGGCAGCGGGGCCGAGCTCTGCCTGGCTCCCTCCTCCGCCAATCCTCCTCCCAGGGCCGCGGGGACTCCCCGGACCGCCACTCCACCCCCTCTCCCAGGGCTGCTCGGGTTCCCTTCACCGACTCCCTCCGAGGCAGCCGGACCTTCTGCCCCTCCTTCTCCACCCCACCCCTGCTCCTAGGGCCAGCCAGCCTTCCTTCTCTGACACCCCTACCCCCGCCCGAGGACCGCCAGAACTCCCAAGATCCCACACCCCCACACCTCTGCTCCTAGGCTCACCCGGCCTCCCGGGACCCCACACCCCGAATCCGAGAGCGCCTGGCCTCCTGGGGGACTCTCCCCGCTGGAGAGGACACAGCCCTGGAGCTGTGGCGGTGGGGAGGGGGGGGGGTCTAGCGCGATTGGCCGCGGGTGCCCCCTCCCCGGCCTGGGGACCCACAGAACGACGGGGGGCTGGCCTGGCGGGGGCGCGCTCCGAGGACACCCGACGGGGGGGCCG